CTGAGACCATCAACCGACCTTTGCTGTTCACCGTGACATTTGACTTCATCACGATACCTTGAACTTTTACTCTATTTTGCTATTTTGGATCTGCTCTATCGGCAGCTGGACAACGCGCTCGACATGTCTATGACGGCTGCTTTTCAGGCTGCTGTTCAGGCCCCGTTCGCGCTTGAAGCCGACGCGCGACTGCCTCTCCTCTTCCTCTTTGGGGGACACAAGACCTACTCGTCGTCCTCGTCAGAGTCCTCCTCGGCATCCTCGAACCACTCAATCAGCGCCTTGCACTTCTCCTTGAGCGTGCCCATGCCCTCGCCCTCCTCCGCTCTCGCGTCCTCCCACCATGCCATGATGCCCTCCTCCTCGAGCACGTCCAGGCTGTACAGCTTCTGCAGCGTGGCGGCGAGCAGGACGCCCGCGCGCGTCTGCTCGAGGTTGCGCGCGCCGAGCAACGCGCGCTGCAGCGCGAGGACGAACTCGACCTGCTCCTTCTCGTTGTCGCCCTCTTCGCCGGCGACGCCGACCTCCATGACAAACTTGGCGGCGCCGCTCTTGGAGGCGAACGCCTTGTCTGCGGCCTTGGCGGGCTCGAGGCCGCCGTGTTCGGGCTCGAGGAGCTCCGCGGCGCGGCGGCCGAAGGCGACGGCGACGGCTTTGCGCATGGAGACGTCCGAGGCGTCGTTGGCGAGGCGGAGACCCATGAACTCAAGCTTGGCGGAGTCGAAGTCGCCCGAGTCGGCGCGGAGGGCGTCGAGGAGGCCGTGGACTGCGTCGTGGTGAAAGCCGGACTTGCCTGCGGAGTCGTCTGAGACGAAGGAGTCGGTGCGGGCGCGGTCGGCGAAGGGGGTGAAGCCCTCGTCGTCGGACTCTTCGATTTCGGAAGAGAGAGTGGAGACTGAGGAGGTGGAGAGGTTGAGGTGGGCGAGGTTGTAGATGAGGGAGCGCTGGAGGATTGAGGGGTCCTCGTCGTCTGCATCTTCAGCTTCGGGGTCGACGTAGTGCGCACCCTTGCCGGAGGCGCCGACGAGGGATGTGTCTGGGTCGACCGGGGAGCCGTTGTATGTGGTGACCGCGAGGACGGCGTTCTCGGGGATTTTGGTGTTTTCGCTAATTGTAACGCCGTATGAGATGAGGCAGCCGGCGTCGACTGAAGCACCCTTCCCTACAACGCTGGAGTCGGCGAGAATGGATCTCGTCACTACCGCACCATCCTCGATAATGGCGTCGTCCCAGATGAAGCTGTTCTCGATGCGGACGTTCTTTCCGATCCTGCACCGCCTGCCAACAATGCTGTCGGTCACTCTGCTTCCTGCGCCTACACTCGTGCCCTGGCCAAGGATGGATCTGGCGAGTGAGCTATCCGGCGCCAAGACGGTACCGTCCTCGATTGAGACCGCGCCAGCCGTCATCTTATACGTCTGTCCGGGGATCACGTTGCAATCGGGAACAAAGGGAAACGTCCAACGGCCGAGGACGTCTCTGCTGATCGACTCGTACATCTGTAGGTTGTTTGCGCGTGCGGCGTACCCGTCCTCCAGCACCTCGGCGTAAATGGCCTTTCCGTTCAGCTCCCAGTCCTTGAGCACACCGTGCAGGAAGTTTCGCCTGGGAAGCTCGTAGTCGAAACTCTCAGACCATAAAGCCAGCACTTCCGGGGTGCAGATGTCGATTCCGGCGTCGATCAGATCCCCGCGGATCTCGAAATCGGTGGAAAGCTCGTCGACGACTGCAGGGTCGAGAGACATGTAGTGGTCGCTCTGGAGGGGGTTCGTCTCGTCGTAGTGTAGGCATCGTTTCGTCTTGGAGTCCATCACGAAGACGGGGTTTACCGCGTTCGGCTTTGTCCTGTGCTCCTCAGCGCCGCCTGACCTGAGCACCACCGTCATGATGTTCGTCGCAGAGACCTCCTTGCGCGCCTTGTGTGACTTGAGAGCAGCGTCGAGAGAGATGTTCGAGACGACATCGCCGTGTACCAAGATGAAGTCGCCATCCATAATGCCTCGGCCATCGAGGTCGCGGAGGAAGTCACCCACGGATCGGGCATCGGAGACGCGGATAAACTGCAGGCTGGTGAAAGGTGTGCGGATCGACAGCGGCGACCAGCGGGAGGTGTTGATATAGTTCTCGATCTGCTCAGAGTGGGAGCCGCAGTAGATGTAGACCTCCTGGACGCCGTTCATGGCGAGGAACTCCAGGGTGTACTCGATGAGGGGCGTGTTCGCGAGAGGGAGGAGACACTACCCCGCGGGCGAGGGGTTAGCCGGCGTCGCATGGGCTCGACAATCGTACAGACGACTTACTCTTGGCTTCTCGACCGAAAAAGGAGCAAACCGGTCCTGGAACGAGTCGGCGATGACCTGCAATGGCGCACGGCGTGGTTAGCGACCCTGAAGACTCACCCGGGCTTCTGCCCCACCATATGACGCTTGCGGGCTGCGAACTCACCACGGCCTGCAGGACGTCCTCCCGCTTGCCCTCGGCGGCCTTGCCGGACTTCTTGCCCTTGCCGGCGCCGGATGCTTTTCCCTTTTGCTGCGACATGATCTGTTGAAGTGGATCGCGGGGGGTTCGGCGCTTTTCAGGGAGAGAGGGAGGGGGGGTAATCTGCTCTGTCGCGAGTGAGTCAAAGCAATCCCACAGCTTGGGTGTTGGAAATTTAAGGTGAGTCAACTGCTCCGATGCGGGGTGGGCCGTGCGCTAACCCTCCCTCGGTGTGCCCCGGTCAGTTTAACTCACCGAAATGTCACTGGCAACTTCATCAGATGAATGCGATTGCATCAAGCCAGATTCGAGACGAATGATCTGGGTTTATTTGAACATTACTCATCTCAACCTACAGCACGCTTAGTTCGGACCAAATTGGCAAGAAATGTGACGCAATGTAGGCGACCCTCCAACCCTTGCGGTTTTCTTAACTTGATGCAAGCCACAACTTACAAGAGGCAAGAGGAGAAGGGTCTTAAGTTCCGCGTTCTTTCCCAACGGCTTTTTTTCTCAAATACAACTTCTTTTGTATTTCAAGTTCTTTGATCTGCAACTCGAGACACTCATCTTCAAGGCTCATCATCCAGCATTCGATTCGTCGCACACAAGCAGCATCCGACTCCAGCTGCAAATCCTTCAATATGTCTCCCTCCACCATTCGCTTCCTCGTTCTTTCCGACACTCACCATACAGGTTTCCCAGATCCAGCGACGCTTCCAAAAGCAGATGTCATTCTCCATTGCGGGGACCTAACCATGAGAGGCGGGCTTTCAGAGTACAAACCCACCATCGAGCGACTTTCAGCATGTAACGCCGAGCTCAAGCTCGTCATCCCCGGAAACCACGACTTGACTCTCGATCAACGCTGGTGGACGCGCCACTGCCAGGAAGAGGACGCAGACCCCGACGACCATAACAAAGCCCGAGCCATGTTCGATTTCAAGACGACCGGCATTCGGCTGCTCGATGAAGGAAATTACACCTTTACGTTGCGAGATGGACGATCTTTCACAATGTACGCGTCGCCATACACACCATATTTCTGCGACTGGGCTTTCGCGTATGGCTCGCAGGAGGATCGCTTCGGCCCCGATGCTGTCAACCCAATCCCAAAGGGCGTCGATGTCGTTGTCACACATGGTCCGCCTCGGGTGCCATACGACGACTGTTTTCTCGATCAGATCCAGGAAGGCAAGTTCATCGGTTGCTCCAAGCTATGGACTGCCATTCGACGCACTCGGCCGCGCCTTCATTGCTTCGGACACGTACACGAGGGTTACGGGGCGAAGGCTGTGAGATGGAGGAGCAAAGAGACAGCTGTGAGTTGGGCCACCGAGGCCAAACCACCATTTGATCTTTCGAACGCTACCAAAGGAGAAAGCGGTGCTCTGGTTGCTGGCAGCGAGGGCGTGACGCTGCTTGTCAACGCTGCTATCATGGATAACCAGTATGATGCCAGAAATCAACCCCTGATAGTTGACCTGAAATCGTCGCGAGCTTCACTTTGAAGAGCAAACGTAGAAGCGGAGCCAGGGGTCGAAAGTCTAAATAGTCATTGCGAGACCAGCAGGGTGGTGATGCTCAAGTATGTAGTCTAATAGCCTCGCGACATTTTGAAAATACTACTGCAAAACTTCTTCCAGGAAGAGCCTACTATAACAAACAAGCCGTTCAAGTAGTGCTATACAGGCATTCTGCTTTCCGAATAGGTCCAAGTGGCCATCAAAGTGGAAATAACCGGATAGACGAGGGGCAATAAAAGAGACGGCAATGAAAAGATGTCAGAAGGACAATGGCGAAGTCATCTCCCGTTCAATCTCGAGGTGCCGCGCAAGGGGAAGCTGACGGCTCAAGACCATTCCCTCCTTGGATATGCCAGAAACGCAGAGGTACTCAGTCGTTCCCGTACGTGCTCAACGACTTCGACATCCTCAGGTAGATGGATCTTCTCGTATCTGGTCAGATTTTCAGGGAGCAATAGCTGCTTGTGGACGGTGGATTTGGTCTTGTTGGGGCCGGCGTAGGTAGTCACGACTTTGGAAAACATCCTTGGTGTTATGTCAGTTCAGCTGAAAGAAAAGATTTGGTGATGGGGTACAAGCACACCGGGTCTTTTTGAGAAAAGGACCTATGGTCTTCGTCGACGAGTCTACCTTGTTTCGATCTACCTTGATTTGTTCAACAGACTGGTCAAGATCTGATGCTTCGCTCTTGAGCGAGACTTCAGGAGAAGCCATGATGACTCTTGACGTTGCGGCGCTGCATTGTCTTTGCAGGTGGTTGAAGAATCAGGCGGGGTCAGAAGGAGGAAATCATCGTTTGGGTCCAGCCGTCTGAGTATAGCGGTCTTAGGCAGGCGGCTTCTGTTTTCCATTGCCGAGGAAGGTGGCCGTTTGCTTTGAGGCTCCTTCCCGATGAACGCTCACCACCTTTCATTAAACCCTGCCATACCCAACCTACTTCTTCTCCTCCTCTCCTCACCTTTTCTTCAACTCATCACCAAAATCGTCGCCAAGATGAGGCCTGAAAAGCGACCTGCGCCGGACGGCGATGACAATACCGGTGATGGCAAAAACATTGGCAACGTCGGTATCTTCGGCAGCAGCAAATTCGGTCCGTTCAACGTCACCGAATCCCCCGCTCCCAAGAAAGCCAAGCCGGTCGTCACAAAGCATGAAGACTCCCGTGGTCCCGGTGCCAGTCCATTCGTTCCATCCACGACGCCCAGAGGACTGCATGAACCCTGCGTGGGAATCGGCAGGTGAGACTTGACTTCGCTGCCTGTCTTGAGAGCTGCCTGACATTTTCTACGTACAGATTGAGCAAGAGCATCGTCGCTATCCGCGCGGGACCCGGCAGAGAGACCTTCTTTGTCCACCCACACTTGCTCATGGGCTGCAGCGAGTTCCGCAGACAGCTGGGCACGGTGGCCAACGGTGTCACAGAGATCGATCTCCCGGACGAGGACCCCGACATCATCAGCTTGATGATATTTTGGTGCTATGAAGGCAAATTGCCTTCTGTGAAGTTCTCTCAACAACAGGAACCTACTTTGGGGGGTGCAGATGCCACAAATAAAAATACCCCAACTCAGCCATCACGAGGACCCATGACCACTGAGAGAAACGTAAGCGTTACCACGGTCGGAGACAAACTCGCAACTCCCAAGTTATTCGTTCCTGATGTCTTCACATGGAACGCCTATCTTGGCGAGACGGGTTCCAGTCCACGCAAACCGTTCCGGCCTGAGTTTTATCAACTCAAAATACTCAAGTTGGCCATCATGGCAAGCAAGAAGGACTGGCCCGAGCTCTTCCGGAGTGCAGTGAGGATTTACTGCAAGGGCGAGTTGCAGTTCAACCGGACTTGCCCCGCTGTCTGTCACATCGATGCAGTTTGTACCTTCAACGCCCCGAGAGAGGTGAGCGGGCTCATGATGGACTACGCCAGATATCTTTTTGACAAGCACGGCACGCTCTTCACCTTCGCCAGCAACACAAACCCGTCTGTGGCGAACTTCATGGCCGAGCTTCGCACCGTGGAGAAATACAGCAAGGTTTCCAGCGAGAATCCGCTTCGCCGATACGCGCCCCCAGCTGAGGATGTGGGCAAAAACAACGATGACAGCAAGGAAGGAAGTGGCCAGGTCTGAGTGCAAGGAGCATGGAGCAAACAACTTCTAGATGGGTACATGGAAGCATGCAATGCTAAGCAAAGGTTCTGAACCAGACTGGGCGACGTTGAACGGACGTTCTGAACGACCGTACCACACATGGGAGGAGAGTTGAGTGAAGCTGAAGGACTATACTATGAGCTACCGACGCGAGGAATGTGCAAAAGTCAACTCGAAAAGTGTATCGATAGCATCGGAAGCAGACAGAACCAAAGATTACTGATCAGGACAAACATTCTACCAAACGTGAACCCCCTCCAGCCCGATTTCAAGGTTCAACGAGACCAACACCAGGGGAATCCAACCCCAGACTGCGTTCCATGGCCAAGACTTTTGATCGAAAGGGAGATAAGATTCGAGCGATTCTTGGGGTTCAAAACACGCAAAACACACGCCCTCGTCGTCCACTCACTTGAGGAAGGCGGAAAACACGGGGCAGGTCGAGGGGGAGGGGAGGGAGGAGAGACAATAAGCAACGCGGAGCCGGGCGTTCGGCCAATTTCTGGCGGACCAGTCAAGCGGCCGACTATGGTTGTCCAAGACAGCACCAACTGATAGAGTTCGTTATCCAAGACAACGTCAAGAAGGCCGATTATACTGTTCCGGAAAAGCATGTCTCGGGGTCTGAACGCTCCCCCTCTCGCGCAGAATGTTGGACCAAGGCGGCAGGCGAGTCTTCTGCCCACCGCGCAACGCTTTCCCCAGTCTCCCTGGCATTGATACACCAGGGCCCGGCAATGTGGCCTGATCCGTGAGCAAGTTCCGAGTCCTTGGGTCCGGCTGGATTGCAGTCTTGACTGAAACGTTTGGCAAGCCACGAGGATTCCTACAATGCGCGAAAGGCTCGGGTTGGCGGGGGATATTGGGGTGGCAGGTATATCTGAGTCGCTTCACAGGTTTAGGATATCACGAGGTTGTTCTCCATAGGCGGCAAGTGCCGTCGAGCATGTGCCATTATCGACTGTTGTCTCGTGTGCCATACTGCTCTTGGTCTGCATCGTGAAGCTTCATTCCATGCGAGATATCGCGCTCGTCCACAATGAGAAAATCCCGGCGGCTGAGGTCTGAGTATTGAGCGCAAGGCAATCTCGATGAGACCCACTGGATCTCGAAGAACTGCGGACCTGATGCCATGTGAAGGGTCTCAATCTGACCCCACTTGAATTGGGTTTTCCTAGCACTGATCTGTCCGGCGACCGTTCCCGCCAGCAGTGAGCGTTTGGCGCCGCGTCCCGAACGGTGTCGTGAAGTTCGATATCGAGGTCGAGACCCTTGGGTCTAGACGCTGCCGCGAAGCGCGGTTGAACTGCAGCGGTCTGCAGCGTTCTCGGACGGGGGTCCAGTTCGGATCCGGCGGGCTTTTTTGGCGAGGATTGTTTTCGGAAACGCCAATGTCGATCCCCTGCTCATTTTACGGGATCCTTCCCATGTTCCGTCTCCAACAAATGGGACGCGCGCAAAGGGGAAAGGGAAAAAAAGGTGCTACACGTGAGGCCGCCGGAAAATACCCGACGGCGCTGCACACAAATCGGTTCAACACGTTCGCCATCCAAATGGCGCGCGGACGAGGAAAACGTGCGCACTCATCCCTCGGACAAGATCTGATGGTTCTGGTCCCTGAATGCGCGATGTCACGAACTGTCGGCCCTCCAGAGACGAGATAACCAATGTCCAGCGGCCAAATGAAATTGTCCATGATTGCTCTGTCACCCTCCTGAACGCTCCGTTCAGTTTCGCGCCAATTGGGATCACCCCCTGGCAGCTGTGACGGATGGGAACGGGGACCCCCCGTCAGTTACTCACCTGACGCTGCGAAAAATCTTGACCGTCCCGCCTCATCATTTCTCTGCGTCTCCCATCGGTGCGGGAGATCTATCCTGGTCCTGGGCGCCAAGGCTCACGGTGTGGATGGTGTGACCGTGCAGAACTGTCCAGCGTCCCCTCAATTGCGTCATACTGGAGCCAACTTTGATGGGACAGGCCGGCTTGGAGGGTTGTATTCCTCAGATGCTAACTTCAGCCTCCATCAGCATGTGTCCCATGTTTCGCTCGGACATCCATGATGGCTTCAAGCCCAGACGGGGAGGAAACAAGAAGCTTCAGCTGGCAGGCAGGCTCTGGTCTTGTCTTGTCTGGTCTGTACATGGGCAAAAATAGCGAGAAAGCTAGCAGGCCAACAGCTTAAACTGGCAGCAACTGCGTCACTCTCCAGCATGCTTTGACGACATCCCAGCGGTCTGTTTAGGAGCGTTGAGCCCTTGGCGTCGCCGTCGCTCCGTCCAACTTCTTGGTTTGCCGATCTTGGCGCCGGATGGTATGCTGTCCGTTTCGGAATCCGCCTGAAGACTGCTCTCGCGGGCGACTGTGCTAGGACGTGCCGCGGATGGGTCCTTATTCTGCTGGTCCCCTCCGCTGAACCCCTCAAAAGCAATCGGCCGACGCTTTTTTCCCTCTTTGGGTCCCTTGCATTGGTCGAGCTCCAAGTGAGGGGGATTCATCGCGTGTTTCCTTCCAACTGGGTCAGCGCAACGCTGTGTAGCGTAGCGTAGCCATAGCCGTCTGAACTATTGGAGGCAGCTAAGCTTGACTCTGTGCTCGGTTCAAACCGACACAAATGTACCAAGGAACTGGGTTTTGGATGACATCTGTGCCGCAAGTTTCGAGTCAGGACTCGAGAACGAATTACGTCGCACGCGTTGGCGAACACGCGGCGGTCCTCCACCAAAATTTAAATGGCTTCTGCGAACATGCGCGTGAAAGCTTACCCCGGATGGTAGATTGGGATCAGCAAATCTGCGACCGAAGATGAGCAAACTGCGTCGCATTGTCAGCGAGATTAGGGGACATAAGGCCCAAGCTCCGAACTGTAACTGCTGTTGAGTCTTGCGATTCAGCCGCTGCCGGTCATAATTCGCAGAAAATACGACAAGATTACGACAGAAGCCCCGGTGCGAGGGAAGCGCAATAGAAAGGCGATACGGATAATTTGCGACTTTCTTATCATCGGGACCGATGAATGCACGCCGGCTTCAGGTGGAAGGATGCCCCCCAGCCCGGAAGGAGGCAGCGCCGCAGCGTGGCACCGCTTGCCCTGTCAGCCCGTGTTGCCCGTCAGATTTTGGCCGCACGGCACACTCAGAGACCACTTTGGGACGTCTTGGAAGATCCATTTAATCAAGGCTGGCCAATCTGGAGGCAGCCATCGCGGATCGTTGCCATATTGATGGCCCTGGATGGTTGGGCGGAGGATAGGCCACTCGCCGTCAGGTTGCCAAATCCACATCCATCCACATTGCTGTCCACTCGGTGGCCATGTTGACCGCACAGTACGAAGGGTCCATGTCTTTTTGCTAGGCCGAGGGTCTCTCGGCTGGACATTTTCGTCTTTGACCGCCAATACACGGCTCTCTGCGGAACGTGGGGATGCGACAATATCAGATCCAAGAGGCGCAAAGCCGCGACTGTCTTGTTCGAGGAGGCCTGCTGGGCTGAGGGAAAACCTATTGGAATGCGGCGACGGTAACAACCGGTGTTCAAAAAAATTTGAGCTCGTAGAGCTCGGGCAACAGACCGAGGCGTTCATAGGTCAGGAGGCAAGGGGTTCTGCTTTTTTCGATGGCGGCGCGACCAAGACACTCAGTGCTTGAACAGCCATCGAGCAGCATGGCATGCGGGAGGTTTGCCTGTTGGAATTTCTTCTGGGGCGTCGTGGGCGTCGTCTGGGTTCCGCCGCCGTCGGCGCTGGCTCCGAGTCCCCTATGTCTCGGGCTCCCTGGTTGTCTCGCGTGCGCTACTCATCTGGATCGCCTGGTGGATTCAGTACCGGACTCAGGTTGTAGCGGTCGAGGTGGACGAGACGTTGTACTGTAGTCATCACTGTGGCCGAGAGCCAAGTTCAGGGTCCAGTACGGAGCCGTCCGGGATACAGATGATGTTGAGAGAGAGTATGTTTTCCCCTGACGAGCAGGTCAGCTTGATGGTAAGGTTATTCTATGGCTTGCAGGGTGTTGAGCCAAACCTTGAGCTACCAGTCGACGTTGGGAAACTCTTGAATTGCATTGCCCTACGTAAGAACGCATAGAATGCAGTACCTTACATCAGGATGGGACGAAAAGCAATAGCCGGAGCCGTGTTGCGGTCTGCGGGCTGCGGACACGGGCTGGGAAGCCGTCGCCGTCTAATGGTCGGCAAGGTATGCTCAACTCGGCCAAGCGGGCGACCGCCTCATTCATCACTGCTCAACTCGCGTCTGGCCTGATGCCGGAGCATGCACGTAGCGCGGTGCAGTCAGGTCGGAGACTAGTCGGAACCACGAACCGGGGATGTCCTGACAGAAGTGCAACACGATACGGTAAAAACACTCCATAGTGAGATGGATGTGGGTTCCTTGAGGTTTGTCTGAGGTTCTGGATAGGTAACATCAGAAGTTTCCGTCGAGCTCGCTGTCGGTACCGAAGGTGCCAACGCAAATGGAAGGCAGAAGTCGTCGGTCGCAGGCCGACTTTGTCAATCATGAGCAGTTTCTGGCGTCTGTGGTGTCTGGCAAGTCAAGCCCGGGAAGGAGCTTTGCAAGATGCCCCCGGCCCTGACTGACGTCTGTGGCCAACTGGGTGCGGGCGGCGAGAGGGAACAAACAGGACGGGAAGGCGTTCCTGAGTGGCGGACAAGGTGGCCGAGGTACTTCCGACAAGTAGCGCAAAGTACAGTATGAGGTCATTGTTTCCGACACGGATCAGCAGTGGGCTCCTGCAGCCGGCAGCAACTGGAGACGTCCCAGCTGTGGAGAAGGCTGCAGCTCGGTTCCGACGAATGGGAGGATGAAAGCACGAGGGCTGATCCACGCTGCGGGTGCCGTCTGTCCCCATCGCAGCTTGACCACTTCCAGTGCAACCTGGGCACCTGGGCTTGTCCACCGCGGTGTCAAATGGGATTGGGATAGGGATAGCGACAGGCACAGGGCTGGCTGAGGCAAGGCAAGGCCCTCTCTCCGGGCTCTCTGATGGCGACCGGGACGCTGGACGGCAAACTGGAGAAGCCTGAGGCGAAGGTGACAGCGAACGCCGAGTCTAGCCAGCAGTTCGGGCTCCAGTGGGTTTCTGATAGTCGTCAGAGTCGTGGTGTCTACCTTAGTACGTGTTGCACAGAGGGCCACTAAGTAAAAGCACACCTGAGCAATAATTGTACCATGGGCAGTGGGCAAAGTTGTGCTGCACATCTGACGGGTCTTGATCGTCATAATATGCATATCCCGTACACAAATCACAAATCAAGTCAACCACGTTCGCCCGTTTATTAGAGCAAGTGCAGGTGCACCCCGCCTGCCCCACGACACACTCGCTCACCTTCAGTACCTTAGGTAAGTGGACGCGGACGCAGCTGCACCCACCCACCCACGCAGCACCACGCCTGGCAGCTCCAGTGGCAGTGGCACCCGCCGCCCGCCGCCCGCACCGCACCCGCTTCCGCACCACGCAGCAGCAATCTGAGGAACCGAGGATTCCTTACCTTACCTTGCCTCGTCCGCCCTGCCATCTGCACTTGCACTGCACCTCACCCACTGCAGCACAGCACCCAGCAAGACAGCCTGCCCTGCTTGCCTTGCCCGCGGAAGTCTGAACCTCACTCAATCGGCGAGGCAGAAACCTCCCCCCTTCCAGTGCCCGAGAGAGTGGGAGGAAGCGAACCTACCTTAGGTACCTTACCTTGCCTGGCGATTCGGCCGTCACGTCTCCCCCAGTCCCGGTCGCCCCCATTTTCATCAATCTAAGAAATCCCATTCCATCTCCCGTTTTGGAGCCCCCAATACGCTCCAGGCGCGAACCAGGAACAGGCATCTGGGCAAATTCGCATCTCGCAGACTGTTCCACGGGCACTCAAAGGCTGCAGCACTGCAAATTCCAACATACGAATTCCCATCCCTCTCTCCACCGTGTTTCCCTTCTCGTCCAGCCGACCCGACGGCTCCTCACTCCCTCCTAATCCTCCTCACTTACTCAGTATCTGTGTGTGACCTGCCAGGCTGCGATAGACAAGACACCTATCCAGCGGCACGTCTCCCGATACCTAGCCTTCGGCTCTCGCTTTCCGCCCACTGTTTTCCAATTCGCGATTCCCATCGTTGTCGTATTGCATTTGCGCCTCGCATCCGCCCACAGTCCCCAGCATCCATCGCCGACAACACTCACCTGTGCCCTGCATCACTCGAATCGCCAGGGTTGAATTCTTCCCTGCTGCCTCGCATTCGTTCTGCTTTCTGAGCCTGAGCAGTAGCAGCACCCAAGAACCGGGCAGGCAAAGGCGATAGCATCGACGACGACGCCGCCAGCGGCTGCGGCTGCGGAAGTACGAGCGCGAACGGCCACACCAGCGCCAGCATCAGCACCAACACCACCACCACCCAATGGGAACCGGTACCAGCTCATGCGCCGCCGCCCAGCGCTAGATCAAAGTACAAAGTACCCCATCACCAAGCAGAACCAGCAAAGCAACATCCATCCACCATCATCCACACAGAACGCAGCAAGCACACGGCACAGCACAGCACACCAGTCTCCAGAGACACCGCACCACCACACACCACAACTCACACGCACACCTCATCCCCCGTCTCCTCTCCTCCTCTCCTCCTCTTGCTCTCGTCCAACAGCAGGCCGCCAAATCCAATTCAACCCCATTCCCTGTCGGGCTACCCAAGTCACTCAAGTCTCCCAAGTCACCCACACCCCTCCCCCCTTGACCCCCGTCCGTCCCCGTACCTCCCTCTCCCTCGGCGGCCGGGTCCAGTCTGTACGAACCAGGACCAGCTCAGCACCGCTCCAGCAGCACCTCCAGCAGCCAGCCCAGAGAGCGAACTTGCACCTGCACCAATCCAGCAATCCCAGCACCAGGTCTAGCAAGCCTGCTCCACGTCGGGTCCGCCATCCATCTCTGTTCTGTGTGCCCTGCGCCAGTTCCCAGTTTCTAAGATCTTGTCTCTTGACCTCCACGAAACTTCACCTTTCGCCCAATTGAGCCTTCAACTCCTTCTACACTCGAGCCCGCCCGTCCCTTCACTCGGTTCTAGCGCTCTGCATCGATCGGCCCAATTCCACGATTTACCGGCTGCATGTTTTTCTCACGGCCTCTACTGTCTTAGATCCCTTACTACCCTCTAGCTTCCATTCCCGCAAGAGACCGCAACCGGATACGACTGCATTGCTGCCAAAGCTTCGGTGGAGATTGCCCTGCCCTCTCGCCAGCTTCGATTCCAAATCCCTGGACCCTTCTGGACTCGACACCTTCCGACGATTGTACCTTTCTTTTCCACTGAACGACGAAAAATTCCTATCAAGCGGGCCGTTGCTCCGTCTTGCAACTTCGAGAACCAAGTCTGGGCCTTCGAGATCGACCGGTCCTCCTAAAACTCCAAATCTTCCATCGTCACCCGTCCCCAAGCACCGGAGACAGACACACATCCTCTCGACGACTGCTTTCCCCCTCCCTCGGCGCCCATCATGCCCGAACCTGACAGCGTTGCCGCCCAAGGCGGCGGCAGCAACTCCAGCGATTTTGTGAGTCCATGGCCTGACGACTTCGTCTCTAATTCTAGTGCGATCCATCATGCTAACTTCCTGCGCGCAGGTTCGCAAACTCTACAAGTCCGGCTACCCCTTCGACGCGCACCAATATTGACCCGTGGCTGACATGTGTAACAGAATGTTGGAAGATCCGGCCTATTCGAATATTGTGAGATGGGGAAACGAAGGCGACACATTTGTCATTCTGGAGGTGCGCGGCAGTCGTACGCAGGGACGGAGGGCAACAATAGGCTAACCTGCTTGTAGACCGACAAATTCACCAACGACATCTTGCCGAAACATTTCAAGCACAGCAACTTCTCTAGCTTTGTCCGACAGCTGAACAAGTACGACTTCCATAAGCTGCGGCGCAACGATGAGAACAACGAGTCGCCATACGGCAAGCAGGTAGGGAGCACGACACATCACGCGGTCCTTGAAGCTAAACTCATGTCCAGGCCTGGGAATTCAAACACTCGGCCTTCCGGGCTGACAGGAAAGATAACCTGGACAATATCAGACGAAAGGCTCCCGCGCAAAGAAAGACGCAGCAGACGGAAGACCAGTTCACAACTAATCAATCCATCAACCTGCTCCAGGAGACCCTGTTCGCGCAACAGCAGCAAGTGCAGGCGCTGCAAGAACAGGTCATTGATATACAACGCACCAATAAGACCCTTCTCGCTGATGTCACCGCCATGCACAAAATAATTGATGCTCAGAGGCAGGCGCAACACGAGCTGCTCAACTACATGGGGCATGCTGACGACAGGATGAGAGGCGCCCGTTACCAAAACCCGCATATGAATGGCGGCGGTGTCGACGAGCATGCCCCTGAGTTGCGACGAGCAAGGGAACTTCTCTCCAGTGTGCAGACGAACCCTGCAATAAACCAAGAGCTTGAAAGACTCAACGGCATGTACGCGCAGAGCTCTCCGCCAGACTCCGCCTCTGGCCTCATGTTCCAGGCTGGCTCTGCCGGCATGCCGCCCATGATGGCCGCTGAGCACCTGAACATGCGTCATCTTGTCTATCCTGTGGGCGAGAATGTAGGCATCGATCCGCTGTCCCAAGACCACTTCAACAATATCCCTTACACTCTGAACTCCTTGCCAATGAATGAGTTCCAGAACCCGGTTGTCAAGCCTGAGCCCGGCCCGGCCACACCAGCTCCAGCCGCCGTCGCACCCCCGCGCCCGCCTTCGAACGACAAGGGACTTTGGGGACGCAAGAAGCCGAGGGTGTACCTCGTCGAAGACGACCGGACGTGTTCGAGAATCGGTTCCAAGTTTTTGACGCAGATGGAGTGTATCGTCGAGATTGCTGTACGTTGAGATTGCCGATGATCTGCTCTGTAGAGGTATGAAGTGCCACCAGCTGACAACCGTCTAGGAAAACGGCATCGACGCCGTCAACAAGTGTAAGGAGGTGCCATCCGGGCATTACGACCTCATCTTCATGGATATCGTCATGCCTCAGATGGACGGCGTGTCTGCGACGCAGCTGATCCGTGAGGTGCACCCTGATGTCCCTGTCGTCGCCATGACCTCCAATATTCGCCCTGAAGACATTAGCCACTACTTCAACTGGAGTAAGTTTTCTTGACAGAATGTAGTGGAGCAAGCATTGACGTTTTCCCAGGCCTGAATGATGTACTGGCGAAACCCTTCACCAAAGATGGCATGTTGCGAATCCTCCGCAAGCATGTGGCACACCTTCTCAAGGATGCGCCTCAGGACGATCTTGCTGTTGGGCATGGGGCTGCTCAGCTGCACGCCGCCAACATGAGCGTGCCTGCAATGAACCCCGGTGTTAAGTTCGACTCGACTCCTAGTCAATCGCCAGCGACAACTACTTCCTGGCACTCGCCTGGTCAGATTCATCAGCCATCACCCAACGTCACCAACATTGAGACTGGTTACCCACTAGGCAACACTGCGCAAATGGTGATAACTCCAACATCTGCGCAACGCCCAAACTTCCAAAACATGCCTCCAGGCATGCAGCAAATGCGAGTACCAGACCATATGGATGATCGCCCGGAAAAGAGGCAAAGGCTGTACGGTCCACAGGGTGGATACGCCTAACATACCACAACTGTTTAAACATCAAACTGCGGTCCCTCCAAGTTCGCGCCAGCACAATCGTACCATTTGTGTTGTCGCCGATTGGGATCGGGCGGCTTGACCCATGTCCACTACACATGGGACTCTGACTGTGTCGAGTAGACGGTCGACAGGTCAAGGTTTTCGGAGGTTCTTTCCAGATTACTATACCCAAAGGGTCGGCAGTAGTGCAGAGCGACAAAGCGATGAACTGTAAGAGGAGGAAGTAAAGTTGGCGCATGATACCAAAAGTTCGTCGAGAGTGATGGCGACTGACGATGTCCACCGACAGGGCATGTCGCCTGTCGACTCTGGCATGGATGATGACCAGATATCATGGCCAATGAGGCACAGAAGCCTTTGCGGCCAACAGACTCCGTGATCGGCGTTGGGAGGGAAGTTTTTGGTTCGCGGTTTAGAACCTGTAAGGGATGCGTACGGCGAATTTGGAAAACCATATGCTGCCATCTAGGAAGAGGATCAACTCCTGGTCACGAATATATACATACCTACCTTCGCTGCGTACGAAAACTTGCTCGTTAGATGACCCGATGTGGACCACAGCAGGATGCGATGCTTTTGATGTGGACATACGGGTTGGTCAGCGGGACGCCCGGACGTAGGTTCGCCAGTGGTTCGCCAGTGGTTCGCCAGTGATTCCCTGCCCTCCCGGCCAGCTTCCCGGGGCATAGATAAAGGCGCAGCAGAGTGAGGGAGTCAGAGGGATGCACCACCTGCCAGCTGAGTATCCGTAGGTACCCTTCTGAGCTGTCGTAAGCCTCTCCAGTGTTCTTTCCAGTCCTCCACCCAGCATGTGCTCTGCAAGGCCCGGGGTTGTCATACAGATCTCGGGTGACCCAGGACCCTGAACCCTTGCGGGTAGACGCGCAGTTGCTGGACAACACGCAGCGCCGCAGCATAGCAAAACCGTACGGGTGGTGACTGAGTGCCAATGGGCAGCGGCTTGGAAGGGAAAGGGGCCTGGATGGGTCCGTAATGTTTGGTGTGTGTAGCGTTGAGGCCTGGGACCCCCCGCACTCACGAGCGGTCGATTGCGGTCTGGACCACGGCAGTGTGGCGCCCGGTGGTCTGATGTGGCCGGGGTCCCTGCCAAGGCGGTCCGGAAGGGCCTAGAACTCTGGGATTCACCTCAACGGTACCACGCGCGTGTGAGTTTGTCGTTTTCTGATTTCCCTCGGGGATTTTCGTCCGAAGGGACCTTGCTGCTGTGCTGCGCCCCGCGGGAAGGAGAGATTTGGTCCCACAGAGGATGCTCGTCTGCTACCATTCGGAAGTCGGGGCGAGCGGCAACGTGTTTCTGAGGGCGGGATTTTCGTAGGGCTACCGTTTTGTACCGCGAGTAAGGTTCCATCGATGGGATTCGCGCATGGAGGGTGTGGAGTTTTTGAGTTGAGATGTGAGAAATCGGTTGATGTCATGGAACAGATCTCACGTCTGTGCAAAGCAGGCAGACTCGTCTGGGGGAAAAGATGGGAGAGAGGAAGGCCTGAAGGGTGTTCGTCTGCGTCCGTCTGATGTGGGAGGTCTGCAGAGTTTAAGGCAACGTCGGCCGGAATTGGGACGAGGAAAGCCAGGGCGCATGGGCCAGGCTCCTCTAGCCAAACGTCCTTGCAGCACAAGCGAAGCCCGTTTTGAGGGCTACGATGGGCTGGACCCTTGAAGTTTGGTGGTCTGGGCGGGAACAAGACGACGGCGGCAGGTAACGTCAGGCGGTTGCTGCGTAAGTGGTTGGCGATTGTTGGTCTTGGCATGTTGTGTTAGTGGATGGATGCTGGATGCATATGGGGGCTGATGGGACGAGATGGGACTTACATGTCAAGACAGTCATCGCCATTCGGGTCTAGTCCCAGTGACTGTGGCCAGCGGAGATGAGGGAGGGCAGCGGTCAGGAGTGTGTGACTGCTCGTGACTGGTTCCTCTGAAGTGAGGTTTCCGATGGCAGCGGACAGTATCGACTTCTTGGGCAAGATACTGGTACGGAGTAGTTCGGAGTCCAGGGAAGTCGTTCAACAAGATTTCATCACGGATGATGCCGCTGGTGTTTTAGACACCGCAATGAAAGTCGACGGAGATGTAGCACGTAGGTACTGTTCCTGTGTCCAGGCCCTGCTTCTGTCGGGGTCTGAGACTCGATGTGGGAGACTTGTCGCTGTTGCTCAGAAAAGTTCAACAGAGATGACCCTATCGACGTTTTGTGCGTGCCTGGTGGACAATTAAGCGCTCGGAAGAAGCCATGTTGGCTAGTGACGGGCGAGGCTCTTCGATAACACCACCGACGTAGCTTGCGTGCCTGCTGTGGAAAGGGTCTGGTCCAATTAGACCCTTGTCGTCCAAATTCCGGAGGCCATGGGGGTCATCTGCGACTGTTGATGGGAAGCTCTGGGCGTTCGTCCGGCGATCCAGAAGGGCAGCTCAGCTTTTCGAGGGAGACGAAAGTGGTCAAGTTGTTGCTCATCGTGCGAGGCGAGGGGCTGGGTCGTCGTCGTAAATGAGGCCACTGAACAGTTCGGAAGCGACGGAGCTGGTGGGTGTGATTGCGTCGGAGGCAAACGAGGAAAGTCGAGATGAGTCTGTGGAAAGAGAAGTGGTCTGCTTTTTTCCACTCTAGGCTGTTGGCTAAGAGGTCCTGCCTAAAGGGTGAAAGATGACTGGCTGGTGCTGGCCGTGGGCCGGGTCTAGATTCGGATCATTGGGGGGGCTTCATGCGAGATGGTCGCAACTACCCGCGTCGGCAAGTCACACTGCACCTGGCAAAGAAGGAAGGGGTAATGGGGATTGAAATACCCATTTCCCTCGTTGAGTGCCTCTTTCTTTCTTCATGCATCCCAAACAAGCGATCCGACGTTGGATAGGCTTCTCCGAAAGCGACCTAACACGTATGTGTGTCGGCATGGGCAATTGACCGAAATAACGTGAAGAAGGATGGGATTCTCGGGAGCGAAGATCTCGATCTGGAAGTCCGGTCTCAATTCTTCGGATGATGTGATGATTGATTAGGATGGGAAAGCTTGGGACGGCCGAACACACCACGCGGGACGAAAGGCTTTCTTTTTGCACTTTGAGGGTGTGCCAGAGATATTCGGAAGCGAGCAAGGGCGCAATGAAGGGTCTCGGCCCGAGACCCCCCATTTATTCAATTCCCATATTTGCTCGGTGCTTGCTGTTTTCTTTGCCATCCGTCATCTTTCTTCCCGTGATGGAGGGTGGATGGTTATCAGCCGATCGTCCTGTCCCTTGCCTCATCCCGTCTTCCATACCATGCCAACGAGCTGAAATGTCTTCACCGGCCCCTACTTGCCCCAGTCCCCTCATCCCGCGCGGAATCCCAGCATCCTGGCAAGATGTGACCGAACCGACGATCACTCATGTCTCGACACATGGCTAGCTGAACGAGGGCCCCGAAGCGCAAGGCCAGCCGAGAGGGGAATCTGCCCAACTTCCTCCCGTCTCCCTTTGCCCGTTGGCGTGCGATATGGGTATCTCCAATGTAAAAAGGACATCTGTGGGTGAGGAAAAAGAAAGGAGGATGCGGTAGACAGGAGAAGACGTGCTTTTGGGTTGGGATGGATCATGGATGACATTGGCGGGAATGGTAGGTTTTGGCGCTTTGCGAGACACGGGCTACCGTGTTTGCTTTTTCGCCCTTTTCTGGTCACATAGGCCTGGAACGTTCGTGTAACATCGCGAGAGATGCAGTGATAGGGTTTGTGCTATCTTGGCTACACGTTTGCTCCTTGGTGTTCTTGGTGATTTCTGGTAAGGGGGCATTTGAGGCATTGAAGAATTGCGTGATGTTTGCGGTCAGATTACGCGTACATACGTCTCACTGAATCGGCCTCGCATCCTCTTTTCCCTGAGTCGGTGAGCTTGTGGTGTTCTTCCAGGTGGTGGGCTTCAAGAGAGCCCTCAGACAAGTCACAGGTATCACCGTCTTGAACAAGCTCACCGAGTTCTCCAAGTGAGTCTCAGACATCATCAGGCGACGCCCTTTTCAAAACTCGGTAATTGGTCATGGATTTCTTTGCCCCTCCCCCCTTCACACCTCTCAGCCCGAGCATGCCATTTTAAAAAGCGCCTTCGACCGTTGCGTCTGGTGGTTTGGTAATCATGCGATGGCGTTGATTCTTTCAGCGTTGGAAAGACATTTCGAGGGGCGTGTTTTCGGCACACAGAAGCCCAAGCAGGAAAGCCCGACACTATCCCTTCCAGCAGTGATTGGGTCGGACTTCGTATAACGGGACAAGTCCCAAATTTCCCCCGTCACTGTGCGTGCGGCTGAAGACTTGTTAAGGGGGGCAGGCTATTGTGAGTCAACGGTCCTCGCATCTGCCTGTGAGTGAAGAGCTAGTGCGGTCGGTGGTAGGAGGATAGGACGTTTTACTCCGCGATCTTGGCATTAAAGTAGGCAGGGGCCATGAAATTAAGCATAATTGCACTGATACGATCTAATATCTATGTCTGATAATGGTTTACGTGGTAGCGATGAACCTTTTCTAAGGTGAGTTGGTAACAGTTCATGTCATACCTTATCATCGAGGCTTCTCCTCGGTCACGAGCGAAGCGGGATATCAAATCACGATCAATCGTTCTACCCATACTCACAATCCGGAGCGACTTACACACTTTTGACGAATCACGCCATTTTACACCCATCCAAATACCCACTGCCCATTGGCCATCGACGACGAAGATTTGTAATCCCTGGCACTTTAGGTCGAAGCACCTTGTGATGTTCCTACTTACGGGGTGCCAACTGTACGCGTGCTTCGGATAGGGCATGGGGAAGTGGTTCAGTGAAGACCAAAAGGTGATGTCCCGTTTACCAGTCATACGCCGCGGTGCTTGCTGTTTATCAGGTATCAAATACTTAGTTTCATTTCCGTGTTCTGGGGATGGATTTCGAAACGCCGCGTCAGGTGTTCACGCAGAGGTTGGTCTGCCTGTCACTGTGCGTGTACCTTGGATGTACTCTCAACACCTCAGTGCCTATTTCTCACCCGATGAATTTGCACACTAGAACGATATTTCGACCACGAGAAAGACCAAATCCATTACACAAGGACGATGTATCTAGGTATATCTCATTGCACTCTGAAAGCACGACGGAGCGCATAAAAAGACAAGGTATGGTACTTACAAGCTGCATCAATGATACCAGTTGGCTAGAGGGTCAAAATCTGGTCTATGGTCATTACTGTCAGAAATAATGACTGCTGTTATGGATTCATTCGATACTTCACCACCATCCAACATTTACAGCGTCCTTCTAAATTCTCAGAGTGGTGGTCAAGGCTTCGACGTACGTCTCCCCCTGAAGTCCTGTAGAATGATGGTTACAATATTTCCGATGTACTTGGGAAGCCAAAGGCTTACCAGTATGTAAATGCTACCGAAACATCGTGGTGACAGAAAATAGTCAATGATATCAAACATACTCTACACGGGCTTCTCAGACTATTCAAAAACACATATTATCAATGGATATGATTGCCTCAAAGCATCGGTAGTACCTTGCGGCAACTTCCTCTAAAGCCCCCCCGGGCCTCTCTCAAGATGTTACCTTATCTCGAGACCTGCAGTATGTATCATTGACATATTCCCATAGTCACTGACATCTAACGAGACGTGAACACATCAACATTGAGAATCGGCTCGTACTTACCTATGTGGCTGCCCGGCCAATATGCATTTATCTGAATATGCAGCTGCATTTTTATTTCTCCTGTATTCGCCATGTATCTCATGCTCTGGGCCTGTTAGGTATCCTTTATTTGCCCCTTGGCCGCCCAACCCCTTGCGTCGATTCTCGCCGCCCATCGCACGGGAAGAAGATCGCGAGATGCCTGAAGTCCTCACTTTGTCTCCCAAGATGCCTATCATTCCTGTCGCGTAAGAAATTATTGCATCGAGTTTGATTATTTTCAGCATCTCGCTTGTTGACTGAGATTTTGCCTTAGGCCTAGTCCATGAGACATGCTTGCGTTTGGTGAAGTTCGTCCTGGCTCACTTGAGTAGCCATACGATCAGAGACAAACAGTGACAGCCATCTTAATATCCAATGCTCCCATAGTAACCGCTTACTGAAGAATGAGGCCAATTTGAAAGCTCCTGAGGCCGATTGGCAGGTCTCGAGTGACAAAGAGTCGTTGGCTGTGGAAGACTTATCAGATACACTATAAGACCGGGTATTGGGGATCAGGCCTTGAGGACATCGTCAATATGTCACTGATCTTCAGTAGTAGGTCACGATGAAATTTCATGAGACAATGTGGCACGAAATTCATTCCGTCACCTCTGCAGCGCCACATTCCCAACTTCAAGCCACGAGTATGGCTTTTGTTCTGGCCAATA